AAGAAATTCCATTATTTGAAAAGGGCGTTTTGCCGCTTGAAAAGAAAGTTCCGCTATTTCAAATACGAGTTCTGCCATTTCAAAAGAATGCTCCGCTATTTGAAAAGGGAGTTCTGCTATTTGAACAGAAAGTTCCGCTATTTGAAAAGGGAGTTCTGCTATTTAAAAAGAATGCTCCGCTATTTGAAAAGAGGTTGTGCTATTTGAAAAGAAATTCTGCTATTTGAAAAGGGAGTTCTGCCGTTTGAAAAGAAAGTTCCGCTATTTGAAATTGGAGATCTGCTATTTGAAAGGATTGCTCCGCTATTTGAAAAGGGAGTTCTGCTATTTGAAAAGAATGCTTCGCTATTTGAAAAGAGAGTTCTGCTACTTGAAGAGAAAGTTCCGCTATTTGAAAAGAGAGTTCTGCTACTTGAGGAGAAAGTACCGCTATTTGAAAAGGGAGCTCTGCTATTTGAAAAGAATTCTCCGCTTTTTGAAAATGGAGTTCTGCTATTTGAAAAGAATGCTACGTTATTTCAAAAGGGAGTTCTGCTTTTTGAAGAGAATGCTCCGCTATTTGAAAATGGAGTTCTGCTATTTGAAAAGAGAGTTCTGCTACTTGAGGAGAAAGTTTCGCTATTTGAAAAGAGAGTTCTGCTACTTGAGGAGAACGTTCCGCTATTTGAAAAGGGAGTTCTGCTATTTGAAAAGAAGTTCCCTATTTGAAAGGAGAGTTCTGCTATTTGAAAGGAGTTCTCCGCTATTTGAAAAAGGAGTTCTGCCATTTGAAAAGAAATTCCGCTATTTGAAAAGGGCGTTTTGCCGCTTGAAAACAAAGTTCCGCTATTTCAAATACGAGTTCTGCCATTTCAAAAGAATGCTCCGCTATTTGAAAAGGGAGTTCTGCTATTTGAAAAGAAAGTTCCGCTATTTGAAAAGGGAGTTCTGCTATTTAAAAAGAATGCTCCGCTATTTGAAAAGAGGTTGTGCTATGTGAAAAGAAATTCTGCTATTTGAAAAGGGAGTTCTGCCGTTTGAAAAGAAAGTTCCGCTATTTGAAATTGGAGATCTGCTATTTGAAAGGATTGCTCCGCTATTTGAAAAGGGAGTTCTACTATTTGAAAAGAATGCTTCGCTATTTGAAAAGAGAGTTCTGCTACTTGAAGAGAAAGTTCCGCTATTTGAAAAGAGAGTTCTGCTACTTGAGGAGAAAGTGCCGCTATTTGAAAAGGGAGCTCTGCTATTTGAAAAGAATGCTCCGTTATTTGAAAAGCGACTTCTGCTATTTGAAAAGAATGCTCCGCTATTTGAAAAGGGAGTTCTGCTATTTGAAAAGAAAGTTCCGCTATTTGAAAAGGGAGTTCTGCTATTTCAAAAGAATCCTCCGCTATTTGAAAAGGGAGTTCTGCTATTTGAAAAGAAAGTTCCGCTATTTGAAAAGGGAGTTCTGCTATTTGAAAAGAATCCTCCGCTACTTGAAAAGGGAGTTCTGCTATTTGAAAAGAAGTTCGCTATTTGAAAAGGGAATTCTGCTATTTGGAAAGAATGCTCCGTTATTTGAAAAGGGAGTTCTGCTATTGGAAAAGGGAGTTCTGCCGTTTGAAAAGAAAGTTCCGCTATTTGAAATGGGAGTTCTGCTATTTGAAAAGAATGCTCCGCTATTTGAAAAGGGAGTTCTGCTATTTTAAAAGAAGTTCGCTCTTTGAAAAGGGAGTTCTGCTATTTGAAAAAAATGCTCCGCTATTTGAAAAAGGAGTTTGCTAATTGAAAAGAAATTCCGCTATTTGAAAATGGAGTTCTGCTATTTGAATAGAAAGTTCCGCTATTTGAAAAGGGAGTTCTGCTATTTGAAAAGAATGCTCCGCTATTTGAAAAAGGAATTTGCTAATTGAAAAGAAATTCCGCTATTTGAAAATGGAGTTCTGCTATTTGAATAGAAAGTTCCGCTATTTGAAAAGGGAGTTCTGCTATTTGAAAAGAATGCTCCGTTATTTGAAAAGCGACTTCTGCTATTTGAAAAGAATGCTCCGCTATTTGAAAAGGGAGTTCTGCTATTTGAATAGAATGCTCCGTTATTTGAAAAGCAACTTCTGCTCTTTCAAAAGATTGCTCCGCTATTTGAAAAGGGAGTTCTGCTGTTTGAAAAGAAAGTTCCGCTATTTGAAAATGGAGTTCTGCTATTTCAAAGAATCCTCCGCTACTTGAAAAGGGAGTTCTGCTATTTGAAAAGAAGTTCGCTATTTGAAAAGGGAATTCTGCTATCTGGAAAGAATGCTCCGCTATTTGAAAAGGGAGTTCTGCTATTTGAAATCAAATTCCGCTATTTGAAAAGGGAGTTCTGCTATTTGAAATGAAAGTTCCGCTATTTGGAAAGGAAAATGGAGTTCTGCTATTTGAAAAGAATGCTACGTTATTTCCTACGTTATTTCAAAAGGGAGTTCTGCTTTTTGAAGAGAATGCTCCGCTATTTGAAAATGGAGTTCTGCTATTTGAAAAGAACGTTCCGCTATTTGAAAAGGGAGTTCTGCTATTTGAAAAGAAGTGGGAGTTCGCTATTTGAAAAGAGAGTTCTGCTACTTGAGGAGAACGTTCCGCTATTTGAAAGGGAGTTCTGCTATTTGAAAAGAAGCTCCGCTATTTGAAAAGGGAGTTCTGCTATTTGAAAAGAAATTCCATTATTTGAAAAGGGAGTTCTGCTATTTGAAAAGAAGTGCTCCGCTATTTGAAAAGGGAGTTCTGCTATTTGAACAGAAAGTAGTGCTCCGCTATTTGAAAAGGGAGTTCTGCTATTTGAACAGAAAGTTCCGCTATTTGAAAAGGGAGTTCTGCTATTTAAAAAGAATGCTCCGCTATTTGAAAAGAGGTTGTGCTATTTGAAAAGAAATTCTGCTATTTGAAAAGGGAGTTCTGCTATTTGAAAAGAATGCTCCGCTATTTGAAAAGGGAGTTCTGCTATTTGAAAAGAAATTCTGCTATTTGAAAAGGGAGTTCTGCCGTTTGAAAAGAAAGTTCCGCTATTTGAAATTGGAGATCTGCTATTTGAAAGGATTGCTCCGCTATTTGAAAAGGGAGTTCTGCTATTTGAAAAGAATGCTTCGCTATTTGAAAAGAGAGTTCTGCTACTTGAAGAGAAAGTTCCGCTATTTGAAAAGAGAGTTCTGCTACTTGAGGAGAAAGTGCCGCTATTTGAAAAGGGAGAGTTCTGCTTTTTGAAGAGAATGCTCCGCTATTTGAAAATGGAGTTCTGCTATTTGAAAAGAATTCTCCGCTTTTTGAAAATGGAGTTCTGCTATATGAAAAGAATGCTCCGTTATTTCAAAAGGGAGTTCTGCTTTTTGAAGAGAATGCTCCGCTATTTGAAAATGGAGTTCTGCTATTTGAAAAGAGAGTTCTGCTACTTGAGGAGAAAGTTTCGCTATTTGAAAAGAGAGTTCTGCTATTTGAAAAGAATGCTCCGCTATTTGAAAAGGGAGTTCTGCTATTTGAAAAGAATGTTCCGCTATTTGAAAAGGGAGGTCTGCTATTTGAAAAGAATTCTCCGCTATTTGAAAAGGGAGTTCTGCTATTTCAAAAGAATGCTCCGCTATTTGAAAAGGGAGTTCTGCTATTTGAATAGAAGTTCGCTATTTGAAAAGGGAGTTCTGCTATTTGAAAAGAATGCTCCGCTATTTGAAAAGGCAGTTCTGCTATTTGAAAAGAAATTCAGCTATTTGAAAAGGGAGTTCTGCCGTTTGAAAATGAAGTTCCGCTATTTGAAATGGGAGTTCTGCTATTTGAAAAGAATATTCCGCTTTTTGAAAAGGTAGTTCTGCCGTTTGAAAATGAAGTTCCGCTATTTGAAATGGGAGTTCTGCTATTTGAAAAGAATGCTACGTTATTTGAAAAGGGAGTTTTGCTATTTGAAAGAATGCTCCGCTATTTGAAAAGGGAGTTCTGCTATTTGAAAAGAAAGTTCTTCTATTTGAAAAGGGAGTTCTGCTATTTCAAAAGAATGGAGTTTTGCTTATTTGAAAGAATGCTCCGCTATTTGAAAAGGGAGTTCTGCTATTTGAAAAGAAAGTTCTTCTATTTGAAAAGGGAGTTCTGCTATTTCAAAAGAATGTTCCGCTATTTGAAAAGGTAGTTCTGCTATTTGAAAAGAAGTTCGTTATTTGAAAAGGGAGTTCTGCTATTTGAAAAGAATGCTCCGCTATGTGAAAAAGGAGATTGCTATATGAAAAGAAATTCCGCTACTTGAAAAGGGAGTTCTGCTATTTGAAAAGAATGCTCCGCTATGTGAAAAAGGAGAGTTCTGCTATTTGAAAAGAATGCTCCGCTATTTGAAAAGGGAGTTCTGCTATTTGAAAAGAATGTCCCGCTATTTGAAAAGAGAGTTCTGCTACTTGAGGAGAATCCGCAATTTGAAAAGGGAGTTCTGCTATTTGAAAAGAAAGTTCCGCTATTTGAAAATGGAGTTCTGCTATTTCAAAAGAGAGTTCTGCTATTTAGAAGTCTCCGCTATTTGAAGAGGGAGTTCTGCTATTTGAATAGAAGTTCGCTATTTGAAAAGGGAGTTCTGCTATTTGAAAAGAATGCTCCGCTATTTGAAAAGGCAGTTCTGCTATTTGAAAAGAAATTCGCTATTTGAAAAGGCAGTTCTGCTTTGAAAATAAAGTTCCGCTATTTAAAATGGGAGTTCTGCTATTTGAAAATAAAGTTCCGCTATTTAAAATGGGAGTTAAATTCCGCTATTTGAAAAGGCAGTTCTGCCGTTTGAAAATAAAGTTCCGCTATTTAAATGCGAGTTCTGCAATTTGAAAAGAATTCTCAGCTATTTGAAAAGGGAGTTCTGCTAATTGAAATGAAAGTTCCGCTATTTGAAAAGGGAGTTCTGCTATTTGAAAAGAAGGTCCGCTATTTGAAAAGGGAGTTCTGCTATTTGAAAAGAATGCTCCGCTATTTGAAAAGGGAGTTCTGCTATTTGAAAAGAATGCTCCGCTATATGAAAAGGCAGTTCTGCTTTTTGAAAAGAATGCTCAGCTATTTGAAAAGGGAGTTCTCCAATTTGAAAACAATAGAGTTCGGCTACTTGAGGAGAAAGTTCCGCTATATGAAAAGGCAGTTCTTGAGGAGAGCTTTTTGAAAAGAATGCTCAGCTATTTGAAAAGGGAGTTCTCCAATTTGAAAACAATGCTCCGCTATTTGAAAATTGAGTTCTGCTATTTGAAAAGAGCGTTCTGCTTCTTGAGGAGAAAGTTCCGCTATTTGAAAAGGGAGTTCTGCTTTTTGAAAAGAATGCTCTCTGCTTCTTGAGGAGAAAGTTTCAGCTATTTGAAAAGGGAGTTCTATTTGAAAATAACCGCTATTTGAAATGGGAGTTCTGCTATTTGAAAAGAGAGTTCTGCTATTTGAAAAGAATGCTCCGCTATTTGAAAAGGGAGTTCTGTTATTTGAAACGAAAATTCCGCTATTTGAAAAGCGAGTTCTGCAATTTGAAAAGAATGCTCCGCTATTTGAAAAGGGAGTTCTGCTATTTGAATAGAAAGTTCCGCTATTTGAAAAGAGAGTTCTACTATTTGAAAAGAATGCTCCGCTATTTGAAAAGGGAGTTCTGCTATTTGAAAAGAATTCTCCGCTATTTGAAAATGGAGTTCTGCTATTTGAAAAGAATGCTCCGCTATTTGAAAATGGAGTTCTGCTATTTGAAAAGAATGCTCAGCTATTTGAAAAGGGAGTTCTCCAGCTATTTGAAAAGAGAGTTCTGCTACTTGAGGAGAAAGTTCTGCTATTTGAAAAAAGAGTTCTGCTTCTTGAGGAGAAAGTTCCGCTATTTGAAAAGGGAGTTCTGCTATTTGAAAATAAGCTATTTGAAAAGGGAGTTCTGCTATTTGAAAATAATGCTCCGCTATTTCAAAATGGAGTTCTGCTATTTGAAAAAATCCGCTATTTGAAAAGGGAGTTCTGCTATTTGAAAAGAAAATTCCGCTATTTGAAAAGGGAGTTCTGCAATTTAAAAAGAATGCTCCGCTATTTGAAAAGGGAGTTCTGCTATTTGAATAGAAAGTTCCGCTATTTGAAAAGACAGTTCTACTATTTGAAAAGAATGCTCCGCTATTTGAAAAGGGAGTTCTGCTATTTGAAAAGAATGCTCCGCTATTTGAAAAGGGAGTTCTGCTATTTGAAAAGAATGCTCCGCTATTTGAAAAGGGAGTTCTGCTATTTGAAAATAGAGTTCTGCTACTTGAGGAAAAATCCGCTATATGAAAAGGGAGTTCTGCTATTTGAAAGGAATGCTCCGCTATTTGAAAAGGCAGTCCTCCTTTTTGAAAAGGAAGTTCCGCTATTTCAAGAGGTAGTTCTGCTATAGAGTTCTGCTACTTGAGGAGAAAGTTCCGCTATTTGAAAAGAGAGTTCGGCTACTTGAGGAGAAAGTTCCGCTATATGAAAAGGGAGTTCTGCTATTTGAAAGGAATGCTCCGCTATTTGAAAAGGCAGTCCTCCTAAGTAAGTTCTGCTATTTGAAAAGTAAGTTCCGCTATTTGAAAAGTAAGTTCTGCTATTTGAAAAGAATGCTCCGCTATTTGAAAAGGGAGTTCTGCCATTTGAAAAGAATGCTCCGCTATTTGAAAAGGGAATTCTGCTATTTGAAAGAATGCTCCGCTATTTGAAAAGGGAGTTCTGCTATTTGAAAAGAAAATTCCGCTATTTGAAAAGGGAGTTCTGGTATTTCAAAAGAATGCTCCGCTATTTGCAAAGGGAGTTCTGCTATTTGAAAAGAATGCTCCGCCATTTGAAAACGAGTTTGCTATTTGAAAAGAAATTCCGCTACTTGAAAAGTTATTTGCAAATGGAGTTCTGCTATTTGAAAAGAATGCTCCGCCATTTGAAAACGAGTTTGCTATTTGAAAAGAAATTCCGCTACTTGAAAAGGGACTGGGTTCTGCTATTTGAATAGAAAGTTCCGCTATTTGAAAAGAGAGTTCTGCCATTTGAAAAGAATGCTCTTCTGCTTCTTGAGGAGAAAGTTCCGCTATTTGAAAAGGGATTTCTGCTATTTGAAACGAAAGTACGGGCTTTTTGAAAAGGGAGTTCTGCTATTTCAAAAGAATGGTCCGCTATTTGAAAATGGAGTTCTGCTATTTGAAAAGAGAGTTCTGCTTCTTGAGGAGAAAGTTCCGCTATTTGAAAAGGGATTTCTGCTATTTGAAATGAAAAGAGAGTTCTGCTACTTGAGGAGAAAGTTCCGCTATTTGCAAAGGAGAAAGTTCCGCTATTTGCAAAGGGAGTTCTGCTATTTGAAAAGAAAGTACCGCTATTTGAAAAGGGAGTTCGAAAGTACCGCTATTTGAAAAGGGAGTTCTGCTATTTCAAAAGAACGCTATTTGAAAAGGGAGTTCTGCTGTTTGAAAAGAAGGTCGCTATTTGAAAAGGGAGTTCTGCTCTTTGAAAAGAATGCTCCGCTATTTGAAAAGGGAGTTCTGCTATTTGAAAAGTCCGCTATTTGAAGAGTGGTTCTGCCGTTTGAAAAGAAAGTTCCGCTATTTGAAAAGGGAGTTCTGCTATTTGAAAAGAATGCTCCGCTATTTGAAAATGGAGTTCTGCTATTAGAAACGAATCCGCTATTTGAAAAGGGAGTTCTGCTATTTGAAAAGAATCCGCTATTTGAAAAGGGAGTTCTGCTATTTGAAAAGATCCGCTATTTGAAAAGGGAGTTCTGCTATTTGAGAAGAATGTTCCGCTATTTGAAAAGAGAGTTCTGCTATTTCAAAAGAATGCTCCGCTATTTGAAAAGGAAGTTCTGCTATTTGAAAAGAAGAAGTTCGCTATTTGAAAAAGGGAGTTCTGCTATTTGAAAAGAATGCTCCGCTATTTGAAAAGGAAGTTCTGCTATTTGAAAAGAAGTCCGCTATTTGAAAATGGTGTTCTGCTATTTGAAAAGATCCGCTATTTGAAAAGGAAGTTCTGCTATTTGAAAAGAATGTCCGCTATTTGAAAAGGGTACTGCTATTTGAAATCGCTATTTGAAAAGAGAGTTCTGCTACTTGAGGAGAACGTCCCCTATTTGAAAAGGGAGTTCTGCTATTTGAAAGGAATGCTCCGCTATTTGAAAAGGGAGTACTGCTATTTGAAAGAATGCACCGGTATTTGAAAAGGGAGTTCTGGTATTTGATAAGAAAGTTCTGCTAGTTGAAAAGGGAGTTCTGCTATTTCAAAAGAATGCTCCGCTATTTGAAAATGGAGTTCTGCTATTGAAAAGGGAGTTCTGATATTTAGAAAGTTCCGCTATGTGAAAAGGGATTTCTGCTATTTGAAAAGAATGCTCCGCTATTTGAAAAGGGAGTTCTGATATTTGAGTAGAAAGTTCCGCTATGTGAAAAGGGATTTCTGCTATTTGAAAAGAATGCACCGCTATTTCAAAAGGAAGTTCTGCTATTTGAAAAGAATGCTCCGCTACTTGAGGAGAAAGTTCCGCTATTTGAAAAGAGAGTTCTGCTACTTGAGGAGAACGTTCCGCTATTTGAAAAGGGAGTTCTGCTATTTGAAAAGAATGCTCCGCTATTTGAAAAGGGAGTTCTGCTATTTGAAAAGAAAGTTCCGCTATTTGAAAAGGGAGTTCTGCTACTTCTAAAGAATGATCCGCTATTTGAAAAAGGAGTTCTGCTATTTGAAAAGAAAGTTCCGCTATTTGAAAAGGGAGTTCTGCTACTTCTAAAGAATGATCCGCTATTTGAAAAAGGAGTTTGCTATTTCAAAAGAAATTCCGCTACTTGAAAAGGGAGTTCTGCTAGTTGAACAGAAAGTTGCGCTATTTGAAAAAGAGAGTTTGCTATTTGAAAAGAAATTCCGCTATTTGAAAAGGGAGTTCTGCTAGTTGAAAGAAAGTTCCGCTATTTGAAAAGGGAGTTCTGCTATTTGAAAGAATGTTCCGCTATTTGAAAAGGGAGTTCTGCTATTTGAAAGAAGTTCCGCTATTTGAAAAGGGAGGTCTGCTATTTGAAAAGAATTCTCCGCTATTTGAAAAGGGAGTTCTGCTATTTCAAAAGAATGCTCCGCTATTTGAAAAGGGAGTTCTGCTATTTGAAAGAAGTTCGCTATTTGAAAAGGGAGTTCTGCTATTTGAAAAGAAAGTTCCGCTATTTGAAAAGGGAGTTCTGCTATTTCAAAAGAATGCTCCGTTATTTGAAAAGGGAGTTCTGCTATTTGAATAGAAGTTCGCTATTTGAAAAGGGAGTTCTGCTATTTGAAAAGAATGCTCCGCTATTTGAAAAGGCAGTTCTGCTATTTGAAAAGAAATTCCGCTATTTGAAAAGGGAGTTCTGCCGTTTGAAAATAAAGTTCCGCTATTTGAAATGGGAGTTCTGCTATTTGAAAAGAATGCTCCGCTATTTGAAAAGGGAGTTCTGCTATTTGAAACGAAAATTCCGCTATTTGAAAAGCGAGTTCTGCAATTTGAAAAGAATGCTCCGCTATTTGAAAAGGGAGTTCTGCTATTTGAATAGAAAGTTCCGCTATTTGAAAAGAGAGTTCTGCATATTTGAAAAGAATGCTCCGCTATTTGAAAAGGGAGTTCTGCTATTTGAATAGAATGTTCCGCTATTTGAAAAGAGAGTTCTACTATTTGAAAAGAATGCTCCGCTATTTGAAAAGGGAGTTCTGCTATTTGAAAAGAATGCTCCGCTATTTGAAAATGGAGTTCTGCTATTTGAAAAGAGAGTTCTTCTACTTGAGGAGAAAGTTCCGCTATTTGAAAAGAGAGTTCGGCTACTTGAGGAGAAAGTTCCGCTATATGAAAAGGGAGTTCTGCTATTTGAAAGGAATGCTCCGCTATTTGAAAAGGCAGTCCTCCTTTTTGAAAAGGAAGTTCCGCTGTTTCAAAATGGAGTTCTGCTATTTGAAAAAACTGCTCCGCTATTTGAAAAGGAAGTTCTGCTATTTGAAAAGAATCCTCCGCTATTTGAAAAGGGAGTTCTGCTATTTGAAAGGAATGCTCCGCTATTTGAAAAGGCAGTCCTCCTTTTTGAAAAGAATCCTCCGCTATTTGAAAAGGGAGTTCTGCTATTTGAAAAGAATCCTCCGCTATTTGAAAAGGGAGTTCTGCTATTTGAAAAGAATGCTCCGCTATTTGAAAAGGCAGTTCTGCTATTTGAAAAGAAATTCCGCTATTTGAAAAGGGAGTTCTGCTATTTGAACAGAATTCCGCTATTTGAAAAGGGAGTTCTGCTATTTGAAAAGAAAATACCGCTATTTGAAAAGGGAGTTCTGCAATTTGAAAAGAATGCTCCGGTATTTGAAAAGGGAGTTCTGCTATTTGAATAGAATGTTCCGCTATTTGAAAAGAGAGTTCTACTATTTGAAAAGAATGCTCCGCTATTTGAAAAGGGAGTTCTGCTATTTGAAAAGAATGCTCCGCTATTTGAAAAGAGAGTTCTACTATTTGAAAAGAATGCTCCGCTATTTGAAAAGGGAGTTCTGCTATTTGAAAAGAATGCTCCGCTATTTGAAAATGGAGTTCTGCTATTTGAAAAGAGAGTTCTTCTACTTGAGGAGAAAGTTCCGCTATTTGAAAAGAGAGTTCGGCTACTTGAGGAGAAAGTTCCGCTATATGAAAAGGGAGTTCTGCTATTTGAAAGGAATGCTCCGCTATTTGAAAAGGCAGTCCTCCTTTTTGAAAAGGAAGTTCCGCTATTTCAAAAGGGAGTTCTGCTATTTGAAAAAACTGCTCCGTTATTTGAAAAGGAAGTTCTGCTATTTGAAAAGAATGCTCCGCTATTTGAAAAGGGAGTTCTGCTATTTGAAAAGAATGCTCCGCTATTTGAAAAGGTAGTTCTGCTATTTGAAATTTATGCTCCGCTATTTGAAAAGGGAGTTCTGCTATTTGAATAGAAAGTTCCGCTATTTGAAAAGGGAGTTCTGCTATTTAAAAAGAATGGTCCGCTATTTGAAAATGGAGTTCTGCTATTTGAAAAGAGAGTTCTGCTGCTTGAGGAGAAAGTTCCGCTATTTGAAAAGAGAGTCCTGGTACTTGAGGAGAACGTTCTTGGATTTGAAAAGGGAGTTCTGCCATTTGAAAAGAATGCTCCTGCTATTTGAAAAGAGAGTTCTGCTATTTGAAAAGAATGCTCCGCTATTTGAAAAGGGAGTTCTGCTATTTGAAAAGAGAGTTCTGCTGCTTGAGGAGAAAGTTCCGCTATTTGAAAAGAGAGTCCTGGTACTTGAGGAGAACGTTCTTGGATTTGAAAAGAGAGTTCTACTATTTGAAAAGAATGCTCCGCTATTTGAAAAGGGAGTTCTGCTATTTGAAAGAATGCTCCGCTATTTGAAAATGGAGTTCTGCTATTTGAAAAGAGAGTTCTGCTACTTGAGGAGAAAGTTCCGCTATTTGAAAAGAGAGTTCGGCTACTTGAGGAGAAAGTTCCGCTATATGAAAAGGGAGTTCTGCTATTTGAAAGGAATGCTCCGCTATTTGAAAAGGCAGTCCGTTCCACTATTTCAAAAGGGAGTTCTGCTATTTGAAAAAACTGCTCCGTTATTTGAAAAGGAAGTTCTGCTATTTGAAAATTATGCTCCGCTATTTGAAAAGGGAGTTCTGCTATTTGAAAAGAATGTTGAATATAAAGTTCCGCTATTTGAAAAGGGAGTTCTGCTATTTAAAAAGAATGGTCCGCTATTTGAAAATGGAGTTCTGCTATTTGAAAAGAAAGTTCCGCTATTTGAAATGGGAGTTCTGCTATTTAAAAAGAATGGTCCGCTATTTGAAAATGGAGTTCTGCTATTTGAAAAGAGAGTTCTGCTACTTGAGGAGAAAGTTCTGCTATTTGAAAAGAGAGTTCTGCTACTTGAGGAGAAAGTTCCGCTATTTGAAAAGAGAGTTCGGCTACTGCTATTTGAAAAGAATGCTCCGCTATTTGAAAATGGAGTTCTGCTATTTGAAAAGAGAGTTCTGCTATGGTTCGGCTACTTGAGGAGAAGGAAGTCTAGGAGTTCCGCTATATGAAAAGGGAGTTCTGCTATTTGAAAGGAATGCTCCGCTATTTGAAAAAGCAGTCCTCCTTTTTGAAAAGGAAGTTCCGCTGTTTCAAAATGGAGTTCTGCTATTTGAGAGAGTTCTGCTACTTGAGGAGAAAGTTCCGCTATTTGAAAAGAGAGTTCGGCTACTTGAGGAGAAAGTTCCGCTATATCGCTGTTTCAAAATGGAGTTCTGCTATTTGAAATGCTCCGCTATTTGAAAAGGAAGTTCTGCTATTTGAAAAGAATCCTCCGCTATTTGAAAAGGGAGTTCTGCTATTTGAAAAGAATGGTCCGCTATTTGAAAAGGGAGTTCTGCTATTTGAAAAGTATGCTCCGCTATTTGAAAAGGGAGTTCTGCTATTTGAATATAAAGTTCCGCTATTTGAAAAGGGAGTTCTGCTATTTAAAAAGAATGGTCCGCTATTTGAAAATGGAGTTCTGCTATTTGAAAAAGTTCCGCTATTTGAAAATGGAGTTCTGCTATTTGAAAAGAATGCTCCGCTATTTGAAAAGGGAGTTCTGCTATTTGAAAGAGAGTTCTGCTGCTTGAGGAGAAAGGAAAAGAATGCTCCGCTATTTGAAAAGGGAGTTCTGCTATTTGAAAGAATGCTCCGCTATTTGAAAAGGGAGTTCTGCTATTTGAAAAGAAAGTTCCGCTATTTGAAAAGGGAGTTCTGCTATTTGAAAAGAATGCAGTTCCGCTATTTGAAAAGGGAGTTCTGCTATTTCAAAAGAATGCTCCGCTATTTGAAAATGGAGTTCTGCTATTTGAAAAGAAAGTTCCGCTATTTGAAAGGGAGTTCTGCTATTTGAAAAGAATGCTCCGCTATTTGAAAAGGGAGTTCTGCTATTTGAAAAGAGAGTTCTGCTGCTTGAGGAGAAAGTTCCGCTATTTGAAGAGAGAGTCCTGGTACTTGAAGAGAACGCTCCGCTATTTGAAAAGGGAGTTCTGCTATTTGAAAAGAAAGTTCCGCTATTTGAAAAGGGAGTTCTGCTATTTCAAAAGAATGCTCCGCTATTTGAAAAGGGAGTTCTGCTATTTGAAAAGAAAGTTCGTTATTTGCAAAGGGAGTTCTGCTATTTGAAAAGAATGCTCCGCTATTTGAAAAGGAGTTTGCTATTTGAAAAGAAATTGCGCTACTTGAAAAGGGACTGGGTTCTGCTATTTGAATAGAAAGTTCCGCTATTTGAAAAGAGAGTTCTGCCATTTGAAAAGAATGCTCAGCTATTTGAAAAGGGAGTTCTCCAATTTGAAAAGAATCCGCTATTTGAAAATGGAGTTCTGCTATTTGAAAAGAAAGTGCTCAGCTATTTGAAAATGGAGTTCTGCTATTTGAAAAGAGTCCGCTATTTGAAAAGGGAGTTCTGCTATTTGAAAAGAGAGTTCTGCTATTTGAAAAGAAAGTTCCGCTATTTGAAAAGGGAGTTCTGCTATTTGAAAAGAATGCCGCTATTTGAAAAGGGAGTTCTGCTATTTCAAAAGAATGGTCCGCTACTTGAAAATGGAGTTCTGGTATTTGAAAAGAGAGTTCTGCTTCTTGAGGAGAAAGTTCCGCTATTTGAAAAGGGAGTTCTGGTTTTTGAAAAGAAAGTACCGCTATTTGAAAAGGGAGTTCTGCTATTTCAAAAGAATGCTCCGCTATTTGAAAAGGGAGTTCTGCCATTTGAAAAGACGCTATTTGAAAAGGGAGTTCTGCTATTTGAAAAGAATTCTCCGCTATTTGAAAAGGGAGTTCTGCTATTTCAAAAGAATGCTCCGCTATTTGAAAAGGGAGTTCTGCTATTTGAAAAGAAGTTCGCTATTTGAAAAGGGAGTTCTGCTATTTGAAAAGAATGCTCCGCTATTTGAAAAGGAAGTTCTGCTATTTGAAAAGAAATTCCTATTTGAAAAGGGAGTTCTGCTATTTGAAAAGACTGCTCCGCTAGTTGAAAAGGAAGTTCTGCTATTTGAATAGAAAGTTCCGCTATTTGAAAAGGGAGTTCTGCCATTTGAAAAGAATGCTAGGCTATTTGAAAAGTGAGTTCTGCTATTTGATAGATAGATTACAGTTCCGCTATTTGAAAAGGGAGTTCTGCCATTTGAAAAGAATGCTAGGCTATTTGAAAAGTGAGTTCTGCTATTTGATAGATAGATTACTCACTTAATCTCGTTCCCCGAACATGCCCGTTCGCAGGTTAAGGGTGCGCATAGCTCTGGAGAAATCGTATTGATTCACGTTGGATTTCCAACGTAAGCTCAACGCATGGTCGGCAATTGTTGCAAAATATAAACAAAGTATTTGGACTTACACGTCGATAATGTGATACCTTTTGCACTGAAGTCGATTGAAAACAACTAAAAATTCTGAGGGAAATATGTACGAAAGCTTCGGATTGATAGAGATACAACTACCTGAAAAATAGAAGGAGAATTTCGACGTTTCGAGCGAAGGTGCTTCGACTTGTACTGTTAGTGTTTGTATACATCGTACTTGACTTTTTATACTGTCGGTACTCGTGATAATTGATAAATATAATCTTCTGAAGAATGAGAGAAAGTTTGCTGTGAAGTATGGAATAGTAAAGTATGTAAAATATTCCGACAAGAGAGCAAAATTTAAACTTCAAAGCACATACGTAGACATAGTATATGATAGCAACGTCAATAATCCAATGTCAAGGAAATCTAAACCTTTAGTCCAGTTACAAAAAACATTCTCTAATTCTGGAGGAGTTTATATTTATCAGCAAAAAGGTCAAGTACGATACTACGATGTACACAACTAACACAATGCAAGTCGAAACGAAGTTCTCGTTGTATTTTTCGGGTAGTTATATCCCTATGAATCCGAAACTTTTGTACATATTTCCCCCAGAATTTTCAGTTGTTTTCAATCGATTTCAGTGTAAAAAGTATCAATTTTTCGACGAGAAATTCTACATACTTTGTTTATATTTTGCAACAATTGCCAAGCATGGGTAAAACTCACGTTGGAAATCCAACGTACTATCTGCCACTAGCCAATCACAGGCCTGAATCAATTCGATTTCTCCAGAGCTATGCCCACCCTTAACCTGCGAACGGGCATACTCGGGGAACGAGATTGTCCCCCCTCTTCACCCCCCAAAACAATAGCCGAATTCATATTAGAGACGGGAAACTCGTCTTAGACGGGAAACTCGTCTCAGACGGGAAACTCGTCTAATATGAATCCGGGCGCAGACGAGTTTCCCGTCTGAACTTTCCCGTCTAACTTACCCGTCTAAACAGACGGGAAAGTTAGACGGGAATCTCGTCTAGACGGGAAACTCGTCTTAAATTCGAATTTACCCGTCCCTAAATTCATATTCAGACGGGTTTTCGCAGACGAGTTTCCCGTCTAAGACGAGTTTCCCGTCCCTAATATGAATTCGGCTAATGTTGGACGTCTTAACCGTATTCTACAAATGCAATCAACATATATTGAATGGTGGGGGTGAGGGGGAGGTTTTTCCAACTTGTGATAATAATACGAAATTTTGTCAAACAAGACGCTCTGCGGAGCGTTAACTCGCTGGGGCTATACAAATACGCACATTACTGTACAATGTACATGATACATACAGTACACAGCTCTTTCAATTGAGATTCAAGGTTTTTCCCGAGCTAAGCGGAAAAGTCGAATACGAGCGCGAAAGGCTGTTTATAAACACAGTACTAAAATGCGGTGCTCTCCAAATCCGGCGTTCCGTCTGCAAGTATAAAAGTTATATCCAGGGGCGCACATTCGAAAAAAATTTGGGGGGGGGTGTCCTATGTTCTGGGACCGACTTTTGTAGTATTTGTGTTTGGTAAGAAAAGCCAACTATTTAAAGCGCATAGACGTAAGACGGGGATAGTATTCCGGGGGCAAAATTTTTATGGATTTCGAATGCGAGCGCCCTAGGCGCGAGGAAAATTTTGAATTTCTAGATTCATTAGAACGCTATTTCACGTATTTTAGGACAAGGTTTGAAGAAAAGTTACAACCACAAAAAGGCATTTTTAAGTCGCCTAATGTTGTTAGATCGAAAAAATATTTATGTATAGAGTTTAAATAAACGTTCAGTTTTTTCAGAACTTTTGCAGAGGTCTAAACTTTTGGAAGGGAGGGTGCAAAATTTTTATGGATTTCGAATGCGAGCGCCGTAGGCGCGAGGAAAATTTTGAATTTCTAGATTCATTAGAACGCTATTTCACGTATTTTAGGACAAGGTTTGAAGAAAAGTTACAACCACAAAAAGGCATTTTAAGTCGTCTAATGTTGTTAGATCGAAAAAATATTTATGTATAGAGTTTAAATAAACGTTCAGTTTTTTCCAGAACTTTTGCAGTGGTCTAAACATTTGGAGGGGGGGGGGGGAATTTTTATGAATTTCGAATGCGAGCGCCGTAGGCGCGAGGAAAATTTTGAATTTCTAGATTCATTAGAACGCTATTTCACGTATTTTAGGACGAGGTTTGAAGAAAAGTTACAACCACAAAAAGACATTTTTAAGTCGCCTAATGTTGTTTGATCGAAATAATATTTATGTAAAACATAGTATTGTACACGCAAATACAACAGCAAAATAGCATCATGTCTTCGTTTTTGTAGAAGTCGGTCATGAGTATCACCTTGAGCGCAAATTCAAGTTCAAATGTGCTTTAAAGCAATCATAGGCATTTTTTACTGGAGTTAGGATTCTAGGTAGGGAAGACTTCAACTTTTATTGGCAAACAGAAGAGATGGGTATCATTATTCACACATCGTACCCCCACCCCAATTTCTGCCCGAATTTCAGCTTTCCACAAGGGCAGATCTTATGCCCATTGCAGAGACCCCCTAGCCCACATCTTGGCTACGCCGCTGATATACTTCTGCCTTCCAAAGTTTCAGCTTTTACGACAAGACTAACAATGCACATTTTAACTGCACCGCGGGGGCTTGA